TAACAGAACCACAAAGAGAGGAGAAATAACCGCCTGGTGAAGAAATAAAAACCGATTTCCTAAATGCAAAAGAAGAGTGTATTAAAAAATGGAAAAGAATGAACGTTATGTTCAACTCCAATAATATGAATGTATTGAGTCACTTCAGGGATCCATAACCTAGGAACCCGTCTCCATGGCGACGGGATCAATAAGGATGCTCATAAATGAGACGGCAGCTGCTGAGGCGTCAGTGACTCAACAGGTGAGAGGAGCAAAACATCATATTAATACCAGATGTATTATTTCTGCAGCTGCAATACGAGTTTTATCTTCTTCGTTCTTTTAAAAAGTTGTTGTGTTGCATGTTTTTATAAATCTTGGTTGTTATTTATTTTCTTGATCATTCATCAGTTTTTGTTGTTACTGTAGAAGTATTGAACCATATATGTAATTGATGTAAAGCACCTTTGAACATGGGATTTCCTTTCAGTTTGATCTTCTTCAAGTGGTTCTACCTCATTTCTGCATTTTCTCTCTGCTTGAATTCTTAAACTGCACTATAACTTTATTCATTCATTTTAATGTTTTGATGTCTGTTTTTTTCTTTTGCCTTCTGTTTTTATTCAAACTTCATCTGATATGGACTTAACAGACAGAAGCAATGTGTTTGTAGCGATCATCATTTAGAAAAGGGTCCACAGGAGGCTTCTTTAAAGGAAAAAATAAATGTATAAATAAAAAATAAAACAAGAAGATTGACAAATTCATCTATAGATAAATACACAGAGTACGCGTGTATTTGCAGGAGGGTGAGAGCAATGAGGTTTGGTGCTGAATGGCTTTGTTGTTGAGATATTAATGAGCTCGCCTCTCCTTGCCTGCTTCCTCTACAGACAAGTCAACCTCCAATGACAGCAGACTGTCTTCATCTGGTGGACGGGGACACTCTGTGAGTCGAGGGGACGATGCTCACCTCGTCCTCCTCCGTCCCTCCGGAGCTGCTGATGAGCAACAGCAGCTCCTCCAAAGACGACTTCTCCAGCGCTCTCACCAAGAACCTGGTGGCCATGCTGGTGTGGTTGGTCCTCAGCGCCATCAACGGCAGCTTGGTGCACACCTTCCTACGGCACAGGTACACACGGGTACACAGGTACACACGGGTAACCACAGGTACACACGGGTACACACGGGTAACCACAGGTACACATGGGTAACCACAGGTACACACGGGTACACACGGGTAACCACAGGTACACACGGGTACACAGGTACACACTGGTACACACTGGTACACACTGGTAACCACAGGTACACACAGCGTTTCCTGTGATGATGTCAAAAGATGATTTTAAACCAGCAAATGAAATATGTTTCAATCCTCATGAAGTGGACAAGTGTCCTCGAGCACATCCTGTCCTCTGGGGCGGACGTCCCACCCGCTCTCTGAGGCCAGGAGTGTATGGTCCTTAACAGCAGCTGCATTAGACAAGAAGAATCAATTCAAAGGTTGTGTTGGTGATATTCACACGTGTCCATGAGCCTCAAGTCTGAGACAATGTCACATTGTTCTGAACCAAGTTAAAGTTCTGATGTTCTAATCCCACATTTCATACATGATCAATCAGTACAACACTGTGGCTACTGTTGACCTTTGACCTTTTCACCCAAGTCTGTTCCTTTGACAGTCTGTTTTACGAGAACCCGCGCTACATCCTGTTCATCACCATGGTGATCAACGACGCTCTGCAGCTCAGCCTGGTCACGGCGCTCTACGTGGTCAGCTACGTCTTCAGGAGGATCCACGCCTCATCCCTGCTGCGTCCTGGTGAGTGCTGCGGTTCCTACACCTGTCCTCACCTGTCCCCACACATACATATTATACATTCATTTGTATGGAGGAGGGGGGACAAGCTACAAGCTACCAAATCACAGAAACCACAGACGATTATGAAATGGAGGTGTTGCTCAGAGGCGTGTTAGCCCCCCAGCTCCGCCCCACAGGAGGGTTTGTGACACCATGGTACCACATCACACAGACACACAACTGTCGACTTGGAGGTTCACAAATCCCTGCCTTCAACAGGACCCTCCTACGGGGATCAATCGAGCAAAACCAACCTGTGATGACAGCTGCAGAATGGGAACAAATACGTTTAAAATCAGGAACCAGGAAACATTTATTGCCAAAATATGTCACAGATACAAGGAAGTTGACTGGGCGGTTGGTGCGTGACAGTAGACAGTGTGACAATAGACAACAAGACAGCAGTGCACCAATAATAACATAAAATAAAATGCTAATGCTATGGATTAGTAGAAAATATTTAAAGAGTTAAAAAATATTAAAAAATAAAGTGCACTATCGAACAAGTGACAAAGTGACCGGTGAGAAATGACAGTTAAAGTGACGTGTGCAGTATGAAGGGGAGCGGAGAGAGACCCCCGTAGGCGTAAACCAACATTGTTGGTCTTTGTTCGGCCTTAGTTACAAGCCCCACGGCGAGGATGCCCAACATTAAATAACTAATATTCAGTAAAATGAACTTCACATTTAAAAACGACACTACATCAATGCACAGACGCTTATGATGTATATTATTTTACTTCTATTCTTCTACTTCACGTTTCATCGACCCTCCTGCAGGACTTTCTCCCACACTGAAGTTCTCCTACCACGGCTGTCTTGTCGTCCATTGTCTGTCCACCAATCGTCAAATTCCTTGTATGTCTGACATATTTTGGTAATAAATGTGTCCCGATTCCCCTCAGGTCATGACAGCGGTCTTCACCACCCGCTCCACCCCTCTCATCCTGGCCGGCATGGCGTTGGAGCGCTACATCTCCATCTGCTTCCCTTTGCACTACAGCCACGTGTGCACCGTCCCTCGCACCCTCCTCCTCATAGGGATCATCTTCATGCTCACCGCCGCCCCGCCCGTCACCGACCTGCTCATCACCGTCGCCCACCAGCCTCCGAGCTTCTTCCACACGGACATCTTCTGCGACCAGCCGCTGCTCTTTGACCAGCGCTCCATCTACTACAAGAACTGCGTGTTTGACGGCGTGTACCTGTCCTTCGTGGCTCTGACGCTGCTCTACACTTACTGCCAGATCATGCTGACGGCCCGAGCCGCCTCCACCGGCCTGGCCTCCGCGCGGAGAGCCAGGAACACCGTGCTGCTTCATGGAGTGCAGGTTGGTGTCTCTCATTGATACCTATTTGATACTCGAAAATTCTTAACATGTTAAAAATTCTGTTTTTTAGTGATTAAGATTAATCTGTTTTCAGCTGCTGCTGTGCATGCTCGCCTTCGTGGTTCCTTTCCCTTCAGGCTGCTCTCATCTCCTTGTTCCCTCGCCTCAGTCTGGAGATCGTTACATCTTCTTCCTGCTCGTCTACATCATCCCACGTTTCATGAGCCCCATCATCTATGGATTTCGTGACAAGCTGTTCAGGACCTACTGGAGCAGGAACCTGGCCTGTCAGGGCCAATGTACCGTCAAGGTCAGACCAGTGTTACCGAAAGTGAACCAGTAGGGGAAGTGACTGAAGGCAACCTCCGATTCTGTCGAGTGAAGTCAAAGCTTTGTGTGGTAAAGCTGCATTCTCTGTAGTGACCAGCAGGGGGCGACTCCTCTGCTCCCATAGACGTCTATGAGGAAATGACTCTACTTCTCTGTAGTGACCAGCAGGGGGCGACTCCTCTGCTCCCATAGACGTCTATGAGGAAATGACTCTACTTCTCTGTAGTGACCAGCAGGGGGCGACTCCTCTGCTCCCATAGACGTCTATGAGGAAATGACTCTACTTCTCTGTAGTGACCAGCAGGGGGCGACTCCTCTGCTCCCATAGACGTCTATGAGGAAATGACTCTACTTCTCTGTAGTGACCAGCAGGGGGCGACTCCTCTGCTCCCATAGACGTCTATGAGGAAATGACTCTACTTCTCTGTAGTGACCAGCAGGGGGCGACTCCTCTGCTCCCATAGACGTCTATGAGGAAATGACTCTACTTCTCTGTAGTGACCAGCAGGGGGCGACTCCTCTGCTCCCATAGACGTCTATGAGGAAATGACTCTACTTCTCTCGATTTATTCCTTCAGTAAACATTGTAAACATGAGTTTATGGTCTCAGTCTCTTCAATACACCGTGATGTTCATTCAGTGAGTTATGGTCCATCTGGAGTCAAACAGACATAAAGCAGATGCTTTAGGGCGGGGCCACACGCTGATTGACATGTCTCTACTAAAGACGGATACGCTGTTTCTATGTCCTCCCCAGTCCAGATATGGTGACTTCCTGTTCACTTGATTCAGAAAAATTACGTCCAAATTCCAAGTTGGTGACGACGCTCCAAAACATCAGTCAATGAGACGTCACAATGGCTACCTGCATGATTTAATAACGTCCAGAAAGTCCAATAAAAGCTTGTTGTTCACTTTAGCTCAGTATGAGGAGTCCACAATTCTTAAAATCTTTTTTGCATTTAATTTAAAAAAGGCTTTTTCGTCACTAGATTTGGAGTAGTGACCAAAAATATAATATATTATTTACCTGAGTGACATCAAGTGTTGAAGACCTGCGGATGTAAAAACAGACTTTGACTGCTAGATGGCGCCCTGTTCCCGTTTATAACACATGAAATGTTCAGAGAAAACATCAACCGTTAAGAGTTATATGAGTAGATATTTATATTGTATAGCTGTTACATACTTTTGTTTTTTTTCAGTTCTATCTGTTGTTCTTATAAATAACCTTTAGTATATTGTTGTTATTGGGGGGTTTTCCTAATAGAGCACGGAGTCAAATTCCATATGCAAGAGTAAAAAAGATTCATTATAAAAAAACTAAAAACAAACTTAATGTATTTTACTCTTATTGTTCTTCACAGCAATGATAAAAACAGTCCAAAATATGAATAAAATGTCATATACACACACACACACACACACACACACTAACTCGTCATCATCAGCAGTTTGCTGTTTGAAGGTATTTCCGCTTCAGTGACGGAAAAAGCCGAAGCATTGCTCAGAGAGAGGACGCCCCGGTACCGGACCCTCCCCCCGGTACCGGACCCTCCCCCCGGTACCGGACCCTCTGCCGGTTCCAGGCAGCAGGAAGGACATTTACTCACCGTGCTTCAGGGGGGACAAGCCCCCCACCTCTTCATCCTCTGCTTCTTGACTTGTTTTTCCTCTCAGCGGATCGGATTCGTTCCTCCTCAGAGGTGAAAGTAAAAACGCCCCATGGGGTGAAGGAGGGTTTGTGAGGAGGGTGATGAAGACGAGGACGTCGTGGTGAAGGAGCGTACTGATTGAACTCTCAGGTATGATGTTAATTTAGATCATATTTAACGGATTACTTATAGACCAACTTTATTTCTGTAAAATAAAGGTATTATTCATTTGAAGCTCTTATTCTCATGGAGACGTCTCGAGTTCTCATGTTTCTGCCTCACTGATAGAAAAGGATTCAAAACAACATTCTACTTAGAAAAAACAGGTTTCACTTTATCCGGCTGGTGGAGTTTTCCTGCTAAATGAAGCCTAATGAGAAGCTCACAGGGGGACATGTTGTTAAATGAATCAAGAAGCACATGTTCAAAGCTCAGTAAGTCTGAAGCTTTGAGGCGACTTCCTGTATCCAAATACTCTTATGAATTGTTTATTAAACATTATTTACACCAGCGTCTTCTTCTCCTCGGTTATTGGGGCTTTTTAACGGTTCCATGGTGAACCGGACTGTGCACCAGACTCTGGACCTTCTAAAGACTCTTAACATGGACCTTTTAACAAAAAGGAAATCAACTACAAAGTCTCACTAAACAAGTATGAAGACATTAAACTGCCACAGGCACACCGGAAGCGACTCTGTCCCCTTATGGAGACAGATGTGATCTCTCAGGTTAAACATCAGCAGGAAGAAAGACTCGTAGACGTAGAGGTTCTGGTTCAGGTTCAGTCAAACAGCATTAAGTCTACTCTTCTCTCTCTAACTGGATTACTTGACATTAAAGCCACACTTTACTGCAGCGGGACACTTCCTGCTGCCAGGGTTTGTACATTTTACATTTTAAGAGGTTTCCTCATCTGCTGAGTGGTGTTGGCGTTTTATTTTGAAAGCCGTGTGGGTGTTTGAGTACATGAGAGGAGCAGTGGCAGCTACTTGTTGTCCATGTTGATAGGAAGTAAATATCAGGGTTGAAGTTTGTGTCTCTTAGAAGTTCCAGTGAAAGCCTGCTGGCTCTGGGCCAATGCTCTTTGTGTCTGTTTGTCCACTTCAGGACGTCTCGTACGTTAGATTAGCGTCTGCTCGTTATATCTCAGAAGCTTTTGGCAGATGAGATGGAATCTCAGAGGCTTCACCAAGCGGGGAACAAGAGAGGAAATACCATCTCAGGCTTCTACTTGCCAGAAAGTCCCAAAGTTTTCTTCTCGTCGTTGCCGCTGACTTAGCCGGAGATCTCAGTGGTATGATGTCATGGGTCATCGGCAGGTAACCATGGTGACGGAGCATCTGCCCTACTGGGCCCAGCAGGACTCCGGCGATGGTCTGGTCCACATCAATGTCGGCGGTCTGAAGAGGAGCCTCTGCCGCAGCACGCTGAGGAGGTTCCCCAACACACGGCTGGGAAAGCTGCTGTCATGTGACTCGGAGGAGGACATCCTGCAGGTGGGTGGAGGACGTCCTGGTTGAGGAGGTCCTGCAGGTGGGTGGAGGACGTCCTGGTTGAGGAGGTCCTGCGGGTGGCTGGAGGACGTCCTGGTTGAGGAGGTCCTGTAAGTGGCTGGAGGACGTCCTGGTTGAGGAGGTCCTGCGGGTGGCTGGAGGACGTCCTGGTTGAGGAGGTCCTGCGGGTGGCTGGAGGACGTCCTGGTTGAGGAGGTCCTGTAAGTGGCTGGAGGACGTCCTGGTTGAGGAGGTCCTGTAAGTGGCTGGAGGACGTCCTGGTTGAGGAGGTCCTGTAAGTGACTGGAGGACGTCCTGGTTGAGGAGGTCCTGCGGGTGGCTGGAGGACCTTCCAGCCTCTCACAGGACCTCCCCTCCCCTCTGTGTCTCTCGTCTCCATCTGGAAGCGTCCTCCCTCTCTCTGCAGGTGTGTGACGACTACGACGTGCAGCAGAAGGAGTTTTATTTTGATAGGAATCCGGGCCTCTTCACTTACGTCCTCCACTTCTACCAGACGGGGAAACTCCACATCATGGAGGAGCTGTGTGTCTTCTCCTTCAGGTCGGTCTTCCTGCCTCACACACGCTACATCCTGTGCCCCGTCTTTCATCCTGTCCCCCTGTCCCATGTCCTCCACACACTCTCTACATGATACTACCTTGATTTTCTGACGTGTCCTCCTCAGTCAGGAGATAGAGTACTGGGGCATCAACGAGTTCTTCCTGGACAGTTGCTGTAGTTACCGTTACCATGACCGCAAGCTGGAGGGCAGCCGCCATCACACCTGGGACGAGGACAGCGAGGTGAGCAGCGTAGACACGTCGGTGGACGAGATCTCAGACCTAAACCGGTAAGGACAGACACAGCTCAGATCTGTGGGTAGAACAGAGGACTGAGGATAGGTAAGAGGAGGTAAGGGAGGGGAGATAGGACAGAGGACAGAGAAGAGAAGCCAAGGAAGAAGCTTACTGTGACACAGGAGGGCCCAATAGGCAGTGTGGGTAAATACGGGAAAAGTCGGTTGTCCTAATTAGTGATTGTTGTCAGCGAGGAGAAGGGGACGATCACGGGACAGACATTCAATGGTTGAAACTTCAGCCTAGAAGTATATAGTTCTAATTTTAAGGGTATGCCAACATGTATGACAAATGTAAAGTATAAACAGTATACATATAAATATTTAGCGTTTTAAATGTAAGTAGATCTCCATGACTTCCCCGTCTCTCCTTCTCCTTCCTCCTGGTCCGTCACAGAGACATGCTCCACTTCCAGGAAGTGCGTCACGGTAACGTGAGGAAGTGTCTGTGGTTGACTCTGGAGAATCCGGGTTACTCCCTTCCCAGTAAGCTCTTCAGCTTGGTCTCCATCGGGGTGGTGCTCGCCTCCATCGCCTCCATGTGCATCAGCAGCATCCCGGAATACCAGGTGAGTAACGCCGGTTACACCCGTAAAAGACACCGCTAAAGTAACAGTAGCAGTAACAGACACCGGTAAAAGACACCAGTAAAGGACACTACCAAAGGTCAGCAGTAACAGACACCAGTAAAAAACACAGGTAACAAACACTGGTAAAAGATGTCTTTTTCCCCCCCTGTCCTTCTGTCTACTCTCCTGTCCTTTTCTCCTCTGTCCTTAGACCTTTGATGATGAAGGGAAGTTAATGGAGGACCCCTCCATGCAGGCTCTGGAGGTCTTCTGCACCTGCTGGTTCACCTTCGAGGTGAGAGGACGTGTTACTGGTAGCACTGGTTCTACTTGTGGTACTGATTCTGCTGGAGGTAAATGATGGTTGTGGTTCTACTGGTGAGTCTGATTCTACTGACGGTACAAGTGATTTTGGTTCTACTGGTTACTGATAGTACTGGTGGTTCTGGTTCTACTTGTGGTACTGATTCTGCTGGTAGTTGTGGTGGTAATGGTGCCTCTGGTTCTACTGGTGGTACTGGGGGTTCTGGTTATACTGCTTCTATTGAGTATTGTCTGTGTGTGAGGTGGTGACCCGGCTGCTTCTCGCTCCGAACAAGAGGAAGTTCTTGCACCACCCTTTGAACATCATCGACCTGGTGTCAGTCGCTCCGGTCTACGTCACCCTGCTGTTTGACACCACTGTGGGATCCGAGTCCCAACTGGGAGTTCTGGGACGACTCGTACAGGTTCAAAAGATTCTCATCGGCCATCCTAGAATATTTATACAAAATGTTACATAATGAAACATACTAACATACTGTAGAAAGTGTATTTCCATACAGCAGACCGGATGACTTAGCATATTGATCTCAGCTCCTGATCACTTGATTGAACTGAAACATGTTTATCTCCTTAAACTGGATCTTCAGATCCATCAGATTCTTTTGAATAAGTTATTTTTACTCTTTCTTCGTGAGGAGATTGAACAAAGCGTCTCCGTCCCTCAGGTGTTCCGCTTAATGAGGATCTTCAGAGTTCTGAAGTTGGCCCGACACTCGACGGGTCTCCGCTCCCTGGGAGCGACTCTCCGGGTGAGAACACGTCTTTTCTGTGTAACCGTCTGCTGACCCTCGGTGTGACCTTCTGATTGACCTTCTGTGTAACCGTCTGCCGACCTTCTGTTTGACCTTGTTTGACCTTCTGTGTAACCGTCTGCTGACCCTCGGTGTGACCTTCTGATTGACCTTCTGTGTAACCGTCTGCCGACCTTCTGTTTGACCTTGTTTGACCTTCTGTGTAACCGTCTGCCGACCTTCTGTTTGACCTTGTTTGACCTTCTGTGTAACCGTCTGCCGACCTTCTGTTTGACCTTGTTTGACCTTCTGTGTAACCGTCTGCTAACCCTCGGTGTGACCTTCTGTGTGACCTTCTGTGTAACCGTCTGCTAACCCTCGGTGTGACCTTCTGTGTGACCTTCTGTGTAACCGTCTGCCGACCTTCTGTTTGACCTTGTTTGACCTTCTGTGTAACCGTCTGCTAACCCTCGGTGTGACCTTCTGTTTGACCTTCTGTTTGACCTTCTGTTTGACCTTCTGCTAAGATGTAGCGGATGTCCTGATTCAATGGGAGTCCAAGGTGTAACATAGTTACGCTGAGCGATGGTCAGTCGGACCAGCAGAGAAGCTGAGGGTCACGTTACCGTCTCCTTTCCTCGGGGAAGAAGAGGAGGAAGAGGAGCTCTAACTGGATTTGGATGAAATATATTTACATCCAGAACAAAGCAGCACTTTAATAAGCGCTGCGGAGAGCTTTCCTGGCCGATTTCAAAATGAGACGTCAGATTAAATCTCAGGTTCCGAGATTTACCACTGACAATAATTTAGTGTAGTAGTGAAGGCAGTAAAGTACTGCTACAGTAAACATTCAGTATGTAAGTATTGCTGATGCTCGTTCTGGAGCTACAAGTTGAGATATTACAAAGCTGTAATGTCACTAAAAGTATGTTCATAGTGAAGATATTTGAGGTGTAAATAAAAATGACCACATGTCAATAAGCAGGTTTCCATGTTTGTGCTCGTCGCCTCATTAAAGCGTCCGTCTCCTCTCTACAGTACAGCTACCGAGAAGTCGGCATCCTGCTGCTCTACCTCGCCGTGGGAGTGTCGGTCTTCTCCGGCATCGCCTACACGGCCGAGTACGAGGAGGTGGGTGTCATCATATTATTTCATCATTATCTTGTCGTTGTCGTACTGTTATCGTTCTGCTATCGTCTCCCCTCCAGGGCGTCGGTCTGGACACCATCCCGGCCTGCTGGTGGTGGGGGGACGGTCAGCATGACCACCGTCGGCTATGGAGACGTAGTTCCCCGTCACGGGGGGCTGGGAAGCTGGCCGGCGGGCGGCTGCATCCTGGGCGGCACGCTGGTGGTGTCGCTGCCCATCACGATCATCTTCAACAAGTTCTCCCACTTCTACCGGAAGCAGAAGGCCCTGGAGGCCTCGGTGAGGAACAACCACCGCAGGAAGGTGCGGATGAGCTGCGAGGACGAGGAGGACGACGACACCGACGACATGGAGGAAGACATCGACGACGAGGACGACGTAGGCGTAGTCAACTACAGCTACGTGGAACACCCATCCTACTCCTCCCTCCTGAAGAGGAAGGAGCTGCCGACCGACGTCCTGTTTGTTTCCTCTGTGGATGCCGTCCTTCTCCCGACCAACGTTTAGTTACCTTAAAAAAACAACGTCGAGCGCCGAAACACCCAATAGAACAGGAAGTAAACAGGAAGTGATCAGAGGGAACCAGGATAAGGGATTAGAACGTTATTTATCCTGGGTGAATTTAGCTGCCCCCCCGCCAGACAAACGAGCCTTCTTAACTGCTAAAATCAGTTTAGATAAAACACGTGAGCATCGTAAGTCACCATCTGCAAACTGTTTACTTAACAAAATGGTTTGATATTTTATCTCGACCCAGGGCTGTCAATAGATTAACCAATTAATCGCACATTTTGAAATTCATTAATCACGACTAATGAATGTTGTTTTTAATGAATGTTTTTTTTCTTCTAAAGACTAAATCTTAAAAATAATGCGTAATCACTTTAGAAAGTGTGTATTATTTTAAACCCATAACTAACAAACTCTGAATTCCACCAGGTAGAACTTGTTGAGCACGTTGAACTACGACTCTTCCTGATGTCCTCGTCACTTTGCTCTCAACTCGCCGTCATTTAGCGGCTTCGTTCAAAGTGACAACAATGTCCTCACATTTAGCAGGACATTTTCAAACCATCGTCTTTTAGGGACACAGTGGTGGTCCTCTGCAGTCTGCAGAGTGTGTTGAGATGGAAGTAGCTTAGCAGCTAGCTTAGCATAGCGGTGCTTTAAGTGGCCCGTTTGTCACCCACCCCTTCTGTTTGACACGTGGAGTAATTCCTCAGCTCACTTCTCTGCTGAATGTCGCGTCTCTGGTGGTTTTACTTCCAATGCAAAAAGCTCCGTCTCGATGTAACTGACTGCAGCGGCCGCTTGGTTTACGCGCCAATTTGGCTTCAGCTGATTGCAAAAATAAAAAAACATCATAGTAAAGTGAGAATGAAGGAACAAAAGTTGTATTTGCTGGATAAGATGAGAAAAAAGAAAAAGGTGGAGCAGAGGAAGAGACGGAGAAAGGAAGTGATGCGAAGAAAAGGATCATTGAAATGAAATACTATTAATATAACATAATAGTAATGTAACAATACTAATAATGGTGGTAGAATATATAATAGTTATCTCACGTCTTTGATTCTTTGAAAAATGCCAGAAACGATTTTAACAGCAAAAACAAACAAGTGATTTAAATGCCCTCAGTTTTTATTTAAATCAACAGAACAAATATCAGTGATGTGAAACAAACTTCCACTGAATTATTCAATGCAGAATAGGAAGTTCAGAGCCAAACCGTGTGTGAAACAAGAAAAAAAAACTAAACATACAAAAGAATTAAAGAAAACAAATCTGAAGAAACGTTTGTAATCCTTGAAATTATATTTTTTACACCATTTTCTCCAGATTTCACCGTCTTTTCTATGGGGATTGCAATTTTATGTTCATATGGTTTGTATTTGTTGAACAGATTTACTATAAAACATCTGGAAATAAAAGTCTAATCATCAGCGGGATTAGACCCATTAAGTCTGACCAGAACCAGATGTGTTCTGTTCTTACTTACTTTGTTTTAATCAACACAGAAACAGGTTGACGTTTCTTCCAGTGATCACGACTGTGTTTCAGCAGGCATCATATTTAATAACAATCAAGCTGCATTATTTCTTTACATTTCCCCTTTTTTGTTTTGATTGTAACAAAGAGTTCAAACATCTGGATCATTAATCTCCTTGATATAACTTGACTGTTAAATATGTAAACATAACTCAATGACAGCGTTTCGTTTTGGGGCTCAAACCCTTAACTGACTAATCAGAACAAAGAGTCAGATGTGCTGTAATATTTACAGAACGTTAAGCTTCTATTGTTTCACCCTGAGGAGCTCAATGACCTGAGCAGCTGCTTCTCTGTGGAACTTCTAAAGATACGTAGAAAAATAAAGCTGCTTACGTGCTGCTGTAGAGGGGAGGGGCCTTCAGGCCGTAGCTTCACGCCTCAAACTGCAGCCTCTTGAGCTCCAGGCCGCAGCCTCTTGAGCTTCAGACCGTAGCCTCTTCAGCTTCAGGCCGTAGCTTCACGCCTCAAACTGCAGCCTCTTCAGCTTCAGACCGTAGCCTCTTCAGCTTCAGGCCGTAGCTTCACGCCTCAAACTGCAGCCTCTTCAGCTTCAGGCCGTAGCCTCTTCAGCTTCAGGCCGTAGCCTCTTCAGCTTCAGGCCGCAGCCTCTTCAGCTTCAGGCCGCAGCCCTCTTCAGCTTCAGGCCGCAGCCTCTTCAGCTTCAGGCCGCAGCCTCTTCAGCTTCAGACCGCAGCCTCTTCAGCTTCAGACCGTAGCCTCTTCAGCTTCAGGCCGCAGCCTCTTGAGCTTCAGGCCGCAGCCTCTTCAGCTTCAGGCCGCAGCCTCTTCAGCTTCAGGCCGCAGCCTCTTGAGCTTCAGGCCGCAGCCTCTTCAGCTTCAGGCCGCAGCCTCTTCAGCTTCAGGCCGCAGCCTCTTGAGCTTCAGGCCGTAGCCTCTTCAGCCTCAGGCCGTAGCCTCTTCAGCTTCAGGCCGCAGCCTCTTCGGCTTCAGACCGCAGCCTCTTGAGCTTCAGACCGTAGCCTCTTCAGCCTCAGGCCGCAGCCTCTTCAGCTTCAGACCGCAGCCTCTTCAGCTTCAGACCGTAGCCTCTTCAGCTTCAGACTGTATCTTCCAGCAACTCAACTTGTTAATTTTCTCATTTAGAGCGTTTCAAACTAATAATCCACTTTGTTGGGTCAGTGCCATAAATCTGTCAACTCAGTGAAGAAGAAATATATACGCAGATGTACGAAGAATATCGCTGCAGGCTAAACAGAGGATGATGATGATGATGATGATGGGGAAGTTGATGAAGATGGACATGAATCAACAGACTGACTACGTTTAAATGCTCATTTACATTCCACTTTTGTCCTGCATCGACATTGTGTTGTTTGGATTGTTGGTTATATAATTGTAGTTATTGAGGTTTAACAATCTGTGTCTACGGTCTTTAGGAGACAAACATTCCTTTAAACTGACTTTATTGCATTTCAGAATAGATGTAAATGTCTCAACGTCGATCTTTTGATTGGGGGGATAAATACCTGAAGTGGTTGAGCAGTGACACAAATATATGATAGAAATGTTGATTTCATATCAATATGCAGCTCTTTGATCTTTTCAGGAATATTTGTATGTAAATGTTGTGTTGTTGCTGGATTCATAATATCTGATTACGTCGACACCAGAGTCCATCTAAATAAAACACCATGAGTTATGAACATTAAAAGACGTAAGTAGAAAACCCAACAAACAGGAACAAGTTCTGCTCAGTGATGAAGACGTTCAGCTGAGTGATGAAGAATAAAAACATTCCCTTCCTTATTATTGGTCACCGGGGCAACGGGCCTGGATCAGTTTATCAGTTCTAGTTTTTACTTAAACTTTTCCAGAAGGTTCAAGGTTTCTTGAAGTCCAGAGATGACGTGAACCTCCGGTACCTTAAGCAATGACGTACCGACGTGAAGAAGAAGAATTAATCCAGTATAACAAAGAGGAAGATCTGCAGAGTTCAGAGGTCGGAGGTTCTTCTTCAGTGGTTCCCCCCTCAGAAGTTCTGCTGCCGACGCTTCTTGGCCTCAATGGCGTCCATGATGGGCCTCCTCTTGGTCTGGTAGCGGCGCCGGATCTCCTCGATCTCCTGCTCCATCTGAGGGTCCAGAGAGGCCAGACGGAGGCGAAGCTCCTCCACCGACCACAAGCTCACCTGCAGACACACATTTATGGTTTTAACAAACTCCTGCTCCTCGTTTCCAGCCGTCAAGCAGAAAGCAGATGAACAAGCTCCTTCTACCCAGGTGACACTTATCTGGTGACCCTTCAGGTCCAGCGAGCTCCTTCTGAAGGAGGATTCATCTGATCTCATACAGATTCATGAAGACTGGAACGGTTCACGTTTGTTCATATTAAAGAATCGTCTTTGTTCTTTAGTGGTTTGATATTGATTTCTTCTAGAAATACCCGATCGAGGGGGCTGATGAATGCTTTGGCCCTCGCGGCTCTACCAGCAGCACTTTGGCTATTTATTACCCACAAATCAATGGGGCAGAAATAACACCGGTTAGGGCAGGAGGGAAAGTTCTCTTTGTTCTCAGTGATTGATTATCACAGGAAACAAATGTGAGGATATTAATGACTCGGTTGTTGGCCAATAGAAATGCACATTTCAGCCGTGACCGATGCTGCTTCATTCAACCTTCACGTCTCCTTGAGAAGAGACAGGAAGCAAACAAGGAAAAGAGAAATAGACATAAAAGGATCTTTGTCTCAAGAATGGAGGTTAGACTCCGCCCACATGCTGCACGATGACATCATCAATAGAACGAACGCAGATGTAACATAAATATGTCTCAATATATTCAACTAAATGTGACGAGGGCCTCCTCTTCATCACTACTAGGTGATGAAGAGACAACATGAGGCTCTTTTGGATAAATACACGATGAACAACATCTGGAAGCAGAATACAGAAATAACCAAGTGGACGGATCTAAAAATAAGCCGACGTCTTTAGATAAAAGAATAAATAGGTTTCCATCCTGAGGATTCTAAGGGGACAATAAACCCGTCGCACACACACTTCCTGTTCCACTGAAGTGTCAATCAGCTGCTGATTCACTCACTTCACCGTGTAAAAATAGCTGCTAAAAAACACCTTTCGCATTTATTCTCTTCCTTGTTGTCGTTGTCAAAAAGTTCAGTGTCAACGTTTCTTCCTCTTTTTAATACGTGTGTTGCTTAGCAACCACCTATGCATGCTAATGTTAAGCTAATGGCTAGCACAGGACCTCGTTAGTTACTGGACTCTGATCATAAAGTCACCATTTATTCTTTTATTAAAACATAAACAAAGGTCTGGTCCTCCAGGACCTTCTGGTGAACCGGTCTCATGTAAAGCTGTGTGTGTGTGTTACTCACCACCTGGAGGTCTCCTTCAGGCAGCCCGCGGTGGTCTGCCGGGTCTCCCCCCCCCTCCCTGTGGCTGTTGGCCTCCTTCTCCTTCTGCTCAAAGTACTGCAGGAAGGACGGCTTGGCCGGCTGCATCGTCTCGTCTCTCCCTGAAACGTTCACGCGCACACGTTCGTTACGACGTCTCCGGAAGAATAAACCTGCTCTCACCAGGTTGAAAAAAAGATTGATTTACTCGGTTTTATAATGTATTAATGACATCATCACAGAGGATGTAAGACAGGACAAGGGGAAGAGGACAGAGTGCGTCTAGCTTTGCTTATGAGACGCACAAGAAGCAGCAGGAGCCTCGAAGTAGAAAAAGTCTGGACTGATATTTGTACTTTAATCCAACACAGCAGAGACGCCACAGGCTGAACCTTAAAATGCAGCTGAAGGGTTTTATTTAAACGGACGCGTATCAGGTCCCTGATGTCAGAGCGTCGTCTTGAAGGTCCTTGAACACATCGTTTCAATGGGACACTAAACGCTAACGTGTTGCATTTCAACAAAAGCTTTTACTCTTCGTGTGTCTTTGAATCTCCACTTGTTCTAATCAGACTCTGCTGAAAACAATGCTGAGCTCCTGAGTCAGACTACGGCATCATGATTGATCGATCGATTGATTGATTTGGGTCATGTGACCACCAAGTGGACAAGAGGCTCCGTGACCAACAATTAAGAGGCTTTTTATTATTCAGCAGCATTAGTAAGGATCAATATCTGATCTCTCACACACACACACACACACACACACACACACACACACACACACACAGAGCTGAAGATGCTAAAGGCAATTAGAAGCTCTAGATGTTCCTGTCTTAATGCAGTTTGAACTGAAGTGAAGTGGAGATCAATACTAACTCGATAGGAGGACGTCAGACAGGAGACGGTCCGTGTGTGTGTGTGTGTGTGTGTGTGTGTGTGTGTGTGTGTGTGTCTTTCTGCTCCTCGTCTCTAAATGGGACATTTTTCTCTCCTCGTCTTTCCTCTTAATACGTTTATTGTGAAGCAGTAAAATACCAAAGCACTCTGCTCCCACGTGCAGCCTTCCTGCCAGTAAACCCGATACCGACATGTTGGGAGGGCAATGCATGCTGGGAAATCACCCCACTCGCCACACGCACAGAGCTCCCTCTAGTGGATGAACAGTAAACTGCTCAAGTTCAGATCCACGTTTGAAAGAGACCACTGGACTCACTCTTCATGGTGCCGGCTTCTTCCTCGTCCTCTTCGTCCGAGTTGATGACCATGGTGCCCAGCTGTGACCTCATGGTCCCCGTGTCGCCATCGTCGTCGTGGGCGATCATGGTCCGAGCCGTGCCGCCGAGGGAACCCGACAACGAGCCGGCGACCCGGACGGTCCCCGAGTCACCGGCCCCCGCCCGCACCATCGTGCCCTGGTCCACCTCGTCCTCGTCCTGCAACACGGGGCAACTTTAGCCCACGCGAGGACCAACAGGCGCACCACCGCTGACCGATGGAGCCTTCTGAGGTGTTCCAAATATTCAATGAAATGTTTCCATATCTTAGTTATCGAGATTATTAATGCTCTATAATAATGTATATGGTAGCAAAACCCTAATATATATATATATATAAAAAAATATATATGTATATATATATATATATATATATATATTTTACATTAAGTTTATAACCTAAATGAACATGTTGAGCCTGAACGCATCACAATGGAACTGAAGTGGGCCTCTGTTAGCCATTAGCTAACGCTACTAGCCCCCCCCAACAGTGAGTGATGACATCATCAATGGTTGAGACCACAGGTGTCACGTGATCATTCCTCATTCTTCACGGCCTGAATTGAAGGAAGTTTGAGGACGTTAAAACCAAATGAAAAATGAAGCAGCCACGGTTTCAGTTTCGGTTACCGAGTTGTCTTCGTCCTCCTGCTGTCTCTGCTCGGCCTCCTCTTGTCTTTTCAGTTTGATCTCCATGGCGTCTGTGATCAGAGCTCTGAGGACCGAGCTGGGCTTAGGACACTTGATGAAGGGATGCTGGAGGAGAGACGGACAAAAGACAGATGAAGTAAGAGAAAGAGACCGAGAGAAGTCTCCACATCTTCAGACGAGAAGCTACAAGAAAGTCTCCTCACGTTGGTAAAAGAATCAGTTTAACCACATAAACTATTTACCATGGAACTGTGTAACTAAAAGCTTCAATAAAGCGGATTTAGAGCGTAATGAGATGTACATCTGATGGTGGTTGTCCCTGCTGACTCACTACTCCGTATTGTACGTTCTGTACACATGTTAAAATGGAACCATGTACAACAACAACCTGCGAGCCCTGCGACACAAAAGCGCATTGAGGCTGCAGAACTTCCCCGCTGGTACCTGCAGCAGCTGGGTGGCCGTCGCCCTGTTTTCAGGGTTCTTCACCAAACACTGGCTGACAAAGTCCTGGAAGGACGGCGACCACAGATCGGGATTCCTGAAGGTCGGCGGAGGGTTGGTGGGAATCATGAAGATGGCCTGGAAGAGAGACACTGTTAGTGGAGACGGAGCCAGACTCCATTTAGAAAACAAGCCTTTTAAAAGTAGTTTGCTCGTCGTCTTATGGAGAGAATGAACAAAACATGAAGGTCAGACTTTATTATTATTAGGTCGTCATTTCAGCATCACTTCATATTGCACCAAATAATAAACTGTCTATGACACACACGGAGCCCCCGCTCTCACCCTCATGGGGTGTATGTCGGCGTACGGCGGCTTGCCCTCGGCCATCTCTATGGCCGTGATGCCCAGGGACCAGATGTCTGCCACGCAGTTGTACCCGATCTCCTGTATGACCTCCGGAGCCATCCAGAAGGGCGTGCCGATCACCGTGTTCCTCTTGGCCATGGTGTCCTGAGGAAGAGACATCCTGCATCAACAAGGGAACACGTTGATGGATATCGACAAGTCAGCGGCCTGCCGACGCACCCAGATGCACAATGCGCTGATCCAGCTTCAAACCACCACTGTGTAGCTGCACTAGATGGAGGCTGGGATCTCACCACACGGCTGCATGGAGGCAACATCTGTGTTCTCTTGGTATGTGGAGACATGTCCCTGTTCTAGGTAGCGTGGTGAGTGAGGAGACCAAACCAGACTCATTTGGATTAAACCAGCGCGGCTAACCAGGAAGCCTGTAATGCATTTATTTACAGATTTAAATCCATCTCATCGCACTCGTTGTTTAGCTGTACTTGTGTTGTATACATGTACTGAACTACAATGATGGTAAGAATCTAATGAATAAGCTTTAGGTGAACGTGTGAGCGTAGTTTAGAGAAACAGTTCTGAGGTTAAAAAAAATCCTGTTAAATTTGCTGATTTGTATTTTTCTTTATAAATGATTACGTTCAAGGAGCAACATGTACTTTCTGAAGTATCTTTGCACTGTGAAGTTCTGTTTTAGAATAAAAGGGTTGCTGTTTTTAATCCGATTAATTGATTGTCAGAATAATCGTTAGTTGCAGCCCTGAGTGACAGTAACGTGATCCAAAGGTCTGTGAGTCACTGAACAATCTACTCGGCTACATGTCCGTGATTTGAAAATGGTTAGCACTTAGCTACCGTTAGCTCGGCGTAGTTACATCTCATTCTGGTGGGAATCACTGTAGAAGGAGTAACGTTCAGGTGTCACCGTAGATCTGAACTTTGACGCCTACATGGCAGCAGAAGCAGAGAGAGCTTCATCTCCACTGATTCGGTGTCAGATCTGTTTGACCTTTGCACCCATCTAACCCAAACCCAGGTAACCTCACCGTGAGCTGTCCGGCCACGCCGAAGTCGGCCAGCTTGGCCTGACCCTCCGAGTTCAGCAGGATGTTTCCCGCTTTGATGTCCCTGTGGATCTTCCTCATGAAGTGAAGATACTCCAGACCCTTCAGAGTGGACTGCAGGATGGCGCAGATCTCCTCCTCCGTTATCTACGGGGACAGAAGACTCAGTCACATGTCCTCTGTGCTGTGTGTGTGTGTGTGTGTGTGTACCGTCTTGTTGCGTAGCCGGATGATGTCAGAGACCGATCCGGCTCCACAGTACTCCATGACGATCCACAGGTCGCTGTTCTTGAAGTAGCTGCCGTAGTAGCGCACCACGTGAGGGCTGAACACAAGCTGGAGGTGATTATTGTGACAAAGGCACCGATCAGACTCGAGCTGAACAAGAAGAACCCGCGGACCTGTTGCACTGCTGCATGATGGAGATCTCCTTGATGATCTCCTGCAGGTCCGACTCCACGGGAACCTGCTTGATGGCTACGATCTCCCCGGTCTCTTTGTAATGGGCTTTGAACACACAACCATACGACCTGCACACGCACACACAGAGGGGTCACATGACCTGTGGAGGAGTTTTTTTTATCTGATTCATCAATTAATCAAAGAAATAATCGACTGATTAATCGATTATTAAAATAATAGTTGCAGCCCTGGTGTTGACAACAGGGGAGAAGATGGTGAGATCATGTGACCTCAGCTCCTCTCAGTTTAACCTGCTGCACCTCATTCCTCAGTAGGAATGCTGCTACACAACCACACTCACAGGGTCCCGCTGACTCCGTGAGGCTTTGGTTCCGTCCCATCGTTAAGTGTTTGAGGCTCAGATATTTGGAGCCATTCATGAGTCGGCATTGATGCCGATTTAGTCCACGGGAATTAACCACCAGACAAACGGGGTAACCAGTGAACGCACGGAGAATAACACGCGTGTTCAGACCGTCATAATAAGATGTATACATTTAAAACATCAAGAACTAAAGATGATGAAAAAAATGAAATCAGAAGATATTTATTCATAAAATATATGACATCAAAGCAATTTAGGCAAAAAACAAGGCACTTTTTAAAATGACCTTATTTTATGAGGAAAGAGACACGTTGAAATCAGAGAGTAAAACATATTAAATAGATAGCTACCTGCGGGTTAAGACGGAAAACATCATGTCTGCCCTCTGAACATTTCAATAGGTGTACCTCAAGGCTCCATCTTAGGCCCTATTTTGTTCTCCACTTATATTAATGATGGCGGCAAAGCGGCTGGAAATCATCAGCATCATGTATTCAGCTGGTCCCTCACTCCAACACACCAAAGCATCACCTCCATCAACAGCCACAAACTCCAAAAAGACCAAATGTTTGCTGTTTGAAAAACCTCATCCTCCCCTCCCCAGATGTACGGCGCTGACGGCTCGGAGCTGCAGTCAACATGTTCAAACATACGCTGCAACAAGTCATAGTTGTCTGCTGCATCAGCCCTCACTTCTCTCTCTCCATTTTTACAAAGAACTTCCAGTAATCTGCCTTTTTTTGTACAGTGCTTATGAACGTAACCATGTTGTCCGTAGCCGTTTGTTTTCATGCGATTGTCATATTGTATCGGTGCCGTTTGTGTCACTGTGCCGCTGCCTCTTGGCCAGGTCATCACTGTAAATGGTGAATTGGTTCTCAATTGACTTGGTTAAATAAATAAATCATTCTACACGTTGTCATGGCGACGTGACATGTGACATGGAATAAAGAGACACGTTGACATTAATCGGTTTGTTCTAATGATGAAACCAAAGGTTCCATAAACGATCGAAGCTCCGAGCTTCTTTACTTCCTGTTAGTCGAGCTCATCGTTTACAACAGGAAGTGCGTTGAGAAACAGGAAATGAAGCGGCAACGTTTATGATGATGAGCAGAGACGGGAGGAGGTGGGACAGGCAGACGGACGGACTCACCCTTCACCCAACTTCTCCAGGACGTCAAAGACTTCCTCTGGCTGCTTGGTGAGGCTGTCCTCGCTCAGCTTCTTCAGCTGTCTGTGGAGGGGGGGGCAGCTTGTTTAATTCCTCCAAGAACCACAAATGCATCCAAACCCCCAAAGAAACAAAGAAACGACGTGGTGACCCGAGTGTGGCCTCCGTCGAGGGAAATGGAATGTTCCTGTATTTCTCGTTTCTAGTCTTCTGATCACTCAGACGCTTCATGTCATCATTCACACACCGATGACAGCAGCTCCCACTCACAAAGCCTCACCTCCACCCACCCACACTGGTCACAGCTACACAGCAATGCTGGGGTTAAGTGCCTTGCCCAAGGACACATGTACACGCGGTTTCCAGGACCTGCGATTGAACTGACGATCTTCTGATCCGAGGACGACCCACAGTCGCCTCTTATTATTATTATTATTATAATAATAATATACTAAAATGATGAGAACTTTGTTCATCATCAAAGCGAGGACATGAGATCAGTGTCACTTTGTCCTTGGTAATGTCTACAGAGTCTCAAGTCACTGTTCTGAAATAGAAGGGCCAATAAGGTCAAAGGTCAGGATGTAGAGGGTACCAGTTAGAAGATGCGAGATGGTGGTCGACTGTTTGGATGTACATGGCGGTGGCTAACAGCTGACAGGGACCATGTTTCCGTTTATCTTTACACAGATGACATATTAATGATCACAGCTCCTTCAAGGCGTGTGTTTAAATATACAACTTCAAGGGAATAAGTCATCATGTTAAATAAAGCAGCAGCGCCTCAGAGGTCTTCTGATGAGGAAACAGAGTTTCAGCAGCATCCTCCTGATTAGTGAACCGAGCAGGAACTACTCGGTTCCTCCTGTCAATCAACTGCTATGACCTATGAATTCATATCTGGACACAACCAAATATCCTGCAGAAGAAAACTCAGGGACTTCACATTTGAGAATCCTGAAAGATGAGAATAGTTTCCAATCAATAACCTGAAGATGAACCAAGATGAGTGACTTCATTGATTTGATTAATGTGGAATGAACATATTAAAACACCTGAAGTCAATAGAACAACAATTACGGACTCAACAAGATCAAATAAACTACATGACCTAAAATCACTGTGGCCTCATTAAAACATGCAGCGGAAACACAACTAATAGTTGGTAAAACTTCAGGGTGAAAACATATGATGGGGAATGACTTAATTTAAACTCATTTCTGTCCTGTAAGCTCTGAGAAATAAACAAAAAGCTCTGATCTGAAACATCAACTTCAGTAAAATACAAAAAATGATTTTAATTCAGGTTAAATCGAGTTAAAGTAACTGACAATTACTCTAAATGAATTACATTCAGTTTAACTTATCTGTGTAATAATATATGTATTTGTTGTGTAATGTTCAGTGGTGGATGAAGTACTAGTGCAGTAATACAATACTACTACAGTATTAGTCAGTGTAGTATTAGTAGTATTAGTCTACCTTGTAACTGACAGGTCACATGTGTGTGAATATTGATTAACCAAATAACGAAGGAAAGTTTTCTAAATAGTTTAACAGGTCGTATGTCAGGAACTGTGTTACTTGAGGTGAATTCTGCTCCGGTGTTGATGACGTCACTCACTCGGCGTTACCGGGTGTCGGACTACCTGCGGCTAACCGGACACGATCAATGATTGATGATCGATGACCTGTCATCAGGAGCATCACGTTACCTGCGCGGGTGGTTCCTCATCTGTACTCTGTCCTTGTTCTCCATGTTGTCCTCCTCTCAGCACCTCCTTCCGCTAAGCTAACTCCAAAAGCAACCGCCTGCTAGCTCGCTAGCTACGTGGCTAGCAGCAGCTAGCAGGGAGCGCGTCCTGTTAGTTCCCCGCGGCGTCTCGTCCACGCGTCAGCCCGCGAAACACGTGCCGCGAACCGTGAATCCTAAGTGACGCGGGGTGTAGACACCGAGCAGACTTCACACCGGGACCGGGGCCTCGTCTCCGGGTTCATCCATTTCCTCACAGGGTCCTGAACTACTTTTGAACTTTTTCTTACAAAACCCGCTCGGCAGCCGTTTGAAACGCACCAGGAAGTCAGTCAGGGGAGGCGGGCCGGACAAAGGCTGCGGCGCGCCGCGTCACCGGCAGGGCGGCGCCAGAGACGCTGCGGTATGACGCGTCACCGGCAGGGCGGCGCCAGAGACGCTGCGGTATGACGCGTCACCGGCAGGGCGGCGCCAGAGACGCTGCGGTATGACGCGTCACCGGCAGGGCGGCGCCAGAGACGCTGCGGTATGACGCGTCACCGGCAGGGCGGCGCCAGAGACGCTGCGGTATGACGCGTCACCGGCAGGGGGCGGCAGGTACACTAATATGCGTATGTTCATGATCACATGTCATTTAGCTGACGCTTTAATCCAAAGCGATTTACAATAAGTGCATTTCAACCATAATGACACAAACTCAGAACAAGAAAGTGCAATTTCATCAAGTAAGTTGATTTACAACTTGCTGTAGATACTTGCACGGTACGTGAGCACCATGTTTAGAACTGGATGAGCCACCGGTACCAGTGAAGAGAGCGGAGGAGTGAGGGAGAACTTAGGAAGGTTAAAGACCAGTGGAGCTGCTGCGTTCTGGATGAGCTGCAGAGGTGGAATGGTGGTAGCAGGAGAGAGTTACAGTAGTCCAGGACCTGAATCAGTACCTGCGCTGCCTTCTGAGTGAGGACGTGTTCTCCTGATGTGAATGGATGGGGTCCAGCTTCCATCCAGGACCTGGTCCAACCCGACACCCCGACCTCTGACCTCTCCGCTCTGCATGTGATAAACTGCTTGTTCCTCCTCACTGAGAGCAAAACACTGGACTAGATCTCCACTCTTTGCTGTCCTGCTCCTAAATGGTGGAAGGAGGTCTCTGAAGACATCAGGACCACAGAGAGCCTTCACATCTTCAGACTAAAGACACACGTCTTCAGACTCTACCTCCACTAACACACTAACTAACTGTAGCACTTACATTGGACTTATAATGGTTTTTATCTACAGCAAGTTGTAAACTGGCTTATTTGATGAAATTGCACTTTGTTGTTTGTCGTTCTTCTGACTTTGTTTCCTGATGGTTGAAATGTTCTTATTGGAAGTCGCTTTGGATAAAAGTGTCAGCTAAATGACGTGATGGAATGTAAATACTGTTAGTAAAACTACCGGCATCGACAGTTCTACAGCATTTATGCAACAGTATATTTGACACATCAGTAATTCATCGGAGATCCGCTTTTACATTAATAGAATATTTTATTTAAAAGGAACCAAACAGCACAGCCGTGTTCATGTCTAAACCGGTCAATAACGAGAGGAACTTGATCCTCGGAAGGAAGGAGCGATGGGACGAAGAGCTGGAAGAAAACGAAGACGACTGTCAGATGGGGACACAGTGACGAAGAGGACAAATAGATGGTGCATTTCTGACAAACATCAAAGTCTCCAACTAATATTTAGATGAACCGGTTTGGGGTCACATTATACTTAAAGTCATTCTTCCTCACAGTTGAGTAAAGTTCATGAGTAAAGTTCATAAATAAAGTCCTTGTATTAGTTTGATCTGATAGAACTAGAATACTAATGTTCCTCCCTTTGGTCCACAGACTGACTCACAGAGGTCTACTCTCCGGAGGGCTGCACGCTCTCGAACACGCCGGCCTCCTTCATGGCGTTGAACTCTTTGACGGCGTCGTACTGCTTGTAGAAGTCGGCGTAGGCCTTCTTCCGTGGCTCCGTCACGCCGTACTGAGGAGAAACCAGACACACTCGGCTCATCGTTTGGACTTTAAATTCCACCAAAACTTAAACTTCAGGTTCACATTTGTTTTTAAAATAATCAAAACCATTGAACATGATTTGGCGCCATGTAAAGTATCTCAGTGACTTGAAGTTAAAGTGGTAAAACTGGAATCTTTCATTTCTCAGAAACAATAAAATCAAAAACATATATTATATGTATATAAATATATAATATACATATAAATATATAATATACATATACACACATATATATATATATATATATATATACATATATAATATACATATATGAAGGTATTCTGTGCGCTTTTCTTTACAGCCCAAAGCTGAATTTGGAGATTGAGCAATAGATGGAAACAGACGATGAACATCAGATTCACGAGCATCAGGTTTGTGTCGGCGACATCGTCCCATTTTCAGGGATTGTGAAGGTTGCGTCTCACCTTGAAGGCGATGGCGGCCACTAGCGACAGGCCGAAGGCGATGGGCAGGTGGAACCGGAGACGCTTCCCCAGCAGCCCCCTCATCAACGGTTTAGGGAGAGACATGGCGATCACCTGCAGGGAGGATGGCGACGTTAACACAGCGTTTTGTGCTCAAGATGAACACACACAGTCAGCGTTAGTTAGCGAAACAGACGCAATATGTAATCAACTGGAAGCCACACACGCACACACACACAAATAAAATAAGACGCCCGTTGCTGCATTTTACATTTGTGGTTCCACCGCTTGATCGGTGTACCTCACAAGGTATGAGGACGTTACTTTAATCATCGCAGTCCTCCTGAGACACTGAACGAGGCAGCGTTTCCTATGCTAAAGGGGCTGACACAGAAGGCTTTGAAGCACCACTCATATGGTGGTCTCGGCCCCTCACACGTCATGTCAACTGCAGTGTGTGAGGGGGCCATGAGACCTTCACTGACCTCCTGGATGAGATAACAATTAGTCTTATGTTAACAAAGTATTGCTATAAACACCATTAAGCCTATAAGATAACAGGTGAACATGCCAAAGTCAGTTTTCATATCACGAACGTTATTTATTCAATCGTGTTAATGATTATCATGATGGACGATGATTTGGGGGTTCAAAACTGATTTTCTTGCTCAAACGTTGAGGATCCAGTTAACTTTAACCTCTGCATCACATAAGGTGTGTGTGTGTGTGTGTGGGGGGGTGACCTTTCCGTATGCTCCAACGTCATCAAGGAGCGTCAGGTGGACGTTAGCTAGCATTAGCAGTAAGCGTTGTGCTAACCGAAGAAGCACATTTGCGCTCAAAGTAGTCGGGATTGTGTTAATAGAAAGACTGATGAATTGGTATTTCAGTTAAACAACCAGTGGAACTAAAAGTTAAAATAGACAATGTAACAAACCAACTAGCGATTATAATACAGGCTCGATTAGATCTCGATTAGATCTTAGATGTGGCGATGAGCTAACACTAGCTAGACACTGCTATCAACCATCCAAAATAAGCCAGCAAAATTAGGGATGAATGGCAAAATGGAGGACTATTAATACTGGAAATGGAAATGTTGAGTTAAACAATTAGACGATAAAATAGAACTATAGCGAACACTCACCGGTTTGGACTCACGACCTTCACGGAACGAGCTAACACTGACCAGCTTAGCTCCTCTACCGGAGAATTTTCTACTGGAGCCTCCGAGGGACCAAATGAGTCACCGCGGAAAGCGAAGTAATAAACTGTCACTCATGATTCCACGCCCCTCTCAGTTGATGCCCCGCCCCCTACGCTGCATCAGGGTCAAAAGTCTGAATGTGAAAAAAAGATTTAACATCTGCAACTGAAGAAGAAAGAGAATGAAAAAATATTTTATTCAAAAAGTTACTTTAAAAACTATATTCATAAAAACTATATTCAACCAGAAAATGTGTTGCATGTACTTACTTTTATTTTGAATACATTGTTGTATTTTTCAATGTTCAAGATCTGGGCCCCGTCCCTCGTACGTGGCTAAGTTGAGTTAGCTGGATAATTTTCAGGATACGAGATTTCGATTCCCCGAAGCAGTTTGGCTACATCACCATAGTAACACATCCCAAAACTTGAACTTGCTCAGTTGATCACTGAACTTGATCAGATCGGAGGTAGTGAAATTTGAAATGACTCAGACACAGTAAACCACGGAAAGAACAAATAGTGACACATTCATAGTCTCAGAAACAGATATGAATAAAAAGGGAGGAGTTCATCTGAGGATTTCACAGAGAGCGAGAGAGGGAGATTTTTATAGTTGTTTTTAGAAAACCTTTATTTTACTTCAAAGAATATGTACGAGAAATAAACATAGCAAGCAGACCAATAACAAGAAACAAATGTCTTTAAAACTCTCGTTGAACACGGTTAGAAGATCCTCCTCATTCTCGCTCCAGAGCTCTTTGTAAAGCTCCACCGGAAGCCCATCCTGGGACCCCCCCCCCCCCCCCCCCCCCCCCCCCCCGTGCCCTGCAGAGCCGAGTCCAGTTCGTCTGCCAGGCATTCACCTCTTCAGACCTTTGGTAGCTCATTAATGTTCTCATACTCGTCAGAGTAAAGTAAGTGAAAACTTCTGGATGTCGTTTGCGTCTCTGAGCTCCTCCCTGAATCAGAGCTGTGGAAACGACCAGTTCTTCTTCTCCAGACCGAAGAAAGACTTTGATGGCCCCCCGAGCCTTCGTGCCCAGCAGGTCTGCAAGAGCAGATTTTTTCGTTTTGAGATCTTCAATATGATCTCGATTTCCAGTGGATTCTGCCAAGAACAGTTCCACAATTCCAGTCTCCAGATCTCCCATAGATCTGGAGACGTCCCGTGTGACATGCGAGTGTCCTGCTGACAGAGACTTTCCCCCGATCGCACCACTGTGTCTAAGAGGCAAAACCTCCTTAAAATGTGCATCTCGTAAGAGAGGCGTGTTAAAATGCCAGTATGCACTTTTTGATCTCCCATTTGAGACACAAACGTTGCACAGAACCAGAGCTGGTCAGTGCACCCAGCAGGCGGCACGCTGCGCTTTCTATAGATGTTGAAGTGTTTAAAACAATAAAACCTTCCCCCTCTGGCATGAGCCCACGTGTGCTGTCTGTCGTGTCCATTCCCTCCAGACATCGACCACCTCATGATCCTCCAGCAGCTCGGAGGGGTCGGAGGTCATACTATGGGCCTTAAGGGGTACACCCCGGCTGACATGGAGACAGACAACAATTCAGCCTCCTGCGGGTGATTTAGTCACCAGATGACCTCACTAACAATTAAGCCAGTTAAACTCACCAGCACGTGACCCACAGTGCATCTGAGCTAAGTGTCATATTCATGTTGTCATCAGATGGAGAAACACCACAGCTGATTTTACACGATGATGTCATAAAAGAAATGTGAGCTCAGCCAAACAAGGAGAAGTCCACAGAGTGCGTCCTCAGAGGGACAGTGGGCAGGACTTTGTGTCCTCTATCTGGACACTGGAGAGAACTACGGTGGCCTTTAGGGAACATAACTCCCCCCCCCCCTCTCTTCTGGGCTTCTGTAGCTTCATGGACTGAAATCCTGCAGGTGCTTTATCCCAAAAATCAACCACTTTTATTGGATTTTATTCTTTTATTCTTATTATTTTTTATTCTATTTGTCTCGCAAACCGGACCAATCACAGAAACAAGTCCCTGTATGTGTAACATACGTGTCATTAAAGGGCTCCTGATTTTAGCTGATGTCCATGCTCTCCACGGGGCCCTCACCCCCCTGGACGCTCTGGTAGATGGACGCCATGTCGGCGTTGGTTCTGATCTGGTTGGCAAAGTCCGCCAGGCTGGGGCTGCGCTCCATGCCCGGCACGGCCAGCAGGGCGGCGACGGCGCGCATGGCCGAGCGCCGCAGCTCCTCCTGCTTCTCAAACTCCTGCTTCACGGAGCCGGCCTTCACCTACAGCATGCACACGTATGTATCAGTACAAACATATGTCTTATCTTCTAGTGTGCATCGATGAAGATGAGGATGTGTGAGCTGTGATATCTTGTCGCTGTTATTGTGAAGTTTGTGAGGAACGGACAGGAAAGCGTGGTGCACAGCGCCGTGGATGGTGTCGTCTCAGCGACGCCGCTGATGACATCATCTCGTGAATATATATGAGGGAGCTGAGCGGCCGGTACCTTGGTGGTGCAGGTGGCCTTCAGAGGCTCGATGAGTCGGTCCAGACGTTGGAGAACAGCAGCAGGACAAAGAGAAGCTAGTCTGGCTAGCATCAGGAAGGTTAGCATCTGTGGCAGACACACACACACACACACACACACATGTGGAAACACAATTCTAGTTTATTTCTATTTATTCCTTTAGACACATCCTTTATGCTGTAAAGTGGAGTAAGATATGATAAAATAATCCTTTATTAGGATTATCTTATTTTAGTAACGTGTGGTTCTACAGTCATTTCACTGAAGTAAACGTGTGTAAAAATACTCTGCTACAAGTATAAAAACCTTCATTCTACCCTGGACTTCAATCAGTACTGTAGTAAATGTACTAACAGCTAGAAGAATAACAGCTGCAAGTGGTACATGGTTTATCCTCATGGCTGGTTCTGGTTCTGTGCCCCCCCTCACACCCTGATGTCGTAGTGGTCCTTCAGGCCTTCCTCCACGTGGTCCAGAAACTGTAGGAGGTCCAGACCCTCCAGCGAGCCGTCCAGCAGCGAGTACATGACCTCGAATGCCGCTTTACGCAGGTCCAGCCCCTCGTCCACCGAGTGCTTGAAGGGACCCATCTCCACCTGGGGAACGCACACACAGACAGCTGAGGACAGGAGCGTCACACAACGACCAGAGGCACACACCTACTGTGAGGGGACCCACCTCTCTGATGAGGTCCTTCCTGATCTGGGTCTCCCGGTACAGGTGAGGCAGCACGGTTGCTAGGAGACCGCGGATCAGAGACGGCTTGTTGTGGACGGCGGAGTTGAACATCACCAGGGAGACGCGGCGCACGTTGATGTCCTCGTCCTGCAACGTCTTCAAGAAGTCACCTGCAGAGCAGAGGAGGAGCACCTGTGAGTAGCAAACCAACGGGACGAGTGTGTGTGTCTTTGTGTGCGCTACCCATGCAGTCCCTCAGCAGAGCGTCGATGGCGGCCGGTTGGTCTACGATGGTGAACTTAACGGCCGTCAGCACGGTGCTGCGAGTCAGAGGAGAACCTGAGGAACACAAACATCTGCTGCTTAGACACATGTGGGTAAACATCCACTCACCAACACAACTAACTAGGTAAGAGATACCGGAAACTCACTAGTCACACACACACACACACAGAGAGACAGAGAGACACACAGACACACACACACAGACACACAGAGAGACAGACACACACACACACACACACACACACACACAGACACACAGAGAGACAGAGAGACACACAGACACACACACACAGAGAGACAGACACACAGACACACAGACACACACACACACACACACACACACAGACACACAGAGAGACAGAGAGACACACAGACACACAGACACACACACACAGAGAGACAGACACACAGACACACACAGACAGAGCGACACACACACAGACAGACACACACACACAGAGAGACAGACACACACACACACACACAGACAGACACACAGACACAGAGAGACAGACACACACACACACACACACACAGACAGACAGACACACACACACACAGACACACAGACACACACACACACAGACACACACACTGACACACAGACAGACACACACACACACAGACACACCGACACACACACGCAGACTCACAGACAGACATGGACTCAGACAGACACACACTTTCCACACACAGACAGACAGACACACACACACACACATATTGACATACACACACACAGACAGACACATCTTAACACACGCAGACACACACACAGACAGACACACAGACACAGATACAGACAGACCCACACACAGACACACATACAGACAGACATACAGACACACAGGCAGACAGACAGACACACACACACACACACACACACACACACACACACAGACAGACACACAGACAGGCAGACACACATACAGACAGACCCACATACAGACAGACAGACAGACAGACCCACATACAGACAGACATACAGACAGACAGGCAGACAGACAGACACACAGACAGGCTCCTACCAGCAGTGAGCTGCTGTCTCAGCCTCGGTAGCAGCTGAGCAGCCTTCACCAGAGTCAGCTTCCCCAGACACTCGGCCACCAGGTTCCGGGTCCCTTCCTCATCACACTCACAGTACCGGAGGAGTAGAGTCCAGATGGACTCCACGTGGGGGGAGAGACTGGAGGCTGCACAGGCGCTGTGGGGGCAGGAAGGTCTCATCAAACCTTACAGGAAGTTTGCGGCTGGGGATACAAGCTGATTGGCAGGTCTCTATTAGACCATAGAGCAGCGGATGCTTTAGGGCGGGGCCACATGCTGATTGACAGGTACCATTCAAACACCCACCTGATGACCTCCTTGAGGGAGTGCAGCAGGAGGTACTGTCTCCTGGGCTGGGAGGAGATCTCTTTCAGAAGGAAGGGCAGGTAGTCGTCCAGGCTGCCGACCGCCATGCTGCCTAAAGCGCAGGAGGCCGCCGTCTTCACCTGAAACCCCCAAAGTGAGTATGTGTCACCTCCCCATGTGACAGAGATCCATGGAGACGTGTTTAATGCAACTAAAGGTAGATCGTCCGTCATTCTCTTTAAGCTTTATGAAGGACAATTAGGTCAAAATAAAGTGTGTCTCACCTCCTCGTTGGAGGAGGAGATGGCCTCCAGGATGACTCCCTGCACGTCCTTACTAGCTCCCAGGCTGCCGCTCCTCCCCACCTCCCCCAGACACAGCAGAGCCAGGACCCGAGCAGACTCAGGAGAACCTGGGTTCTTCACCTGAGGAGGAGGAGAGAGGAAGGGAGAGGGGATACCGTGAAACTGACCCATGGTCTCACACCACCTGTGTACCCACTTCCACGCACCTCCTGCAGGAGTCCTGCCACCGTGGCCGGTGTCTGTGAAGGACAGGAGGAGGCCAGAGCAGCTACACAACGAGCTACAGACTGGTAGGACTGTTTGTGGAGGAGCGAGGACTGGGAGGTGTGGAATGGGTCTGTGAGGGACTTCAGCAACTGACTGGGAGGAGAGGACGGGAGACGGAGAGAAGAGGAGGATCAGTGGTGTCCTTCTTCAGATCTTTTTGTGGACCTCAACAGACTTCCCCCAGACTGAGAATAACCAGGCCATCTCACCTGTAGCCCAGGTTATTGGTTTTGGACTGGACCAGTGCCTGCAGGAAGTCCAGTATGGCTGCGAGTGCGCCTCCCTGCAGCAGAGGAGAATGGACCAGTCTAAAGACATCTGGCAGCACGGAGGAGCAGATCTTTGCCACGGAGGAGGAGCAGGCTCTGGACATGGAGGTCAGCAGGGAGATGGACACCTAAACATGAGATATGATCCATGTGAGAGGAGGAGTGGAGGAGAAGGAGGAGAAGGTTCCCTTCACAAAGACGTGCAGCATGTTGAACTCCTCCATGTCTGACGTCTTAAGAACAGACCTAAACGCGAGGAACCCTGATAGTGGGCGGAGCCTGACTCGTGACCATACCTGTGACACGTGCATGTCGCTCTCGTCCACCAGAGCCGGCAGCTCGCTCAGGACGGGCTCCAGTGCCGCGGGTTTGATGCCGGCGGCGTGATGCTGGACCAGCGCGGTCAGACAGGCCAGCGTGGCCAGCTTCAAGGCTCGCTGGTTCTTCCTTAGGAAGGACCCCAGAACGGACAGCGTCTCCGGGAGGATGGAGGCCAGGTCGATCTGGAGGAGGGAGGGGCGTCAGTGAAGGAACTAATCCCACCCCCTGCTGGTATTTTAAGGGGTTTCATTATTGACCGGAACCTTTAAAGGTGAGGCGGAGATAAGTGTGATGGTGCGGACGGCTGTCAGCCTCGTGATCTCGTTCCTCAACCTCTCGAGGAAGATGGCCAGGACGCCCACAAGCTCCACCCCCAGGTGGTCGCCTAGGTGACACACCAGGTGACCTGTACAGGAAATGGCCCTCTCCTTCACCTCCTGGTCAATGTCTGCGGCTTTCAGCCTCTTGAGGATGATGGGAAACACCTGGGGAGGAGTCGAGGCGGGTCATGTGATGACCTCACACAGCACCTGCCGCTAACTTCTAAAACAAAGTTTTCATGACTGCAGGTCCAGAGGTGAGGTGACGTAACGTATTTAGTATTGAAATAATCGCATGGATATGTCAGTAGCTTGGAATAGACATACAATATTAGGTAGGTAGGTAGACAAGTAGGACTGATACGTCCAAAACTGAAGTCATCATGTATTTCCTATTCAAATAAATGTATTATAGTTCATTATGGATCTACTGATGTTTGAAGTGTCTGTAATCAATCAGATTGTCATCAACTGCTCAAGTAATAGATCAAGTGTAATGGCGCAGTCGGAACGTCTCCGAGGAAAGTTAATCTCAGCATTATTAAGAACACACCTGCCTGACGAAGGCGGCGGGGTCGATTCCCGACGCCGTGGTGCTCTGTGCCGGCGCCTTCATCACTCGGACCAGCTGCTGAGCAACGAGCAGAGCCTCAGAGGTGATCTTATAGAAGGAGTCCTCCACACAGGCCACCACCGGGGGCAGCAGCACCTGGTAGACAGGTAGATCAACAACAGGTAGGTAGACAAACAGGATCAGAGCTAGAAACTATTTATTTATATAATATTAGTTTATATTGAGGTAACAGTACACGGCCCGGTTGTTGGGGACCACTGCCCTGAACAATAGATCCTATAAGTCAACAACCACATCTAGAATCCTTGTAAAGTATAAATATATAATCACAACCCTCATGTGAGGCTGAAAGACTTGAGGAGGATGAGAGAGGAGGAGAACATGGAAGAAGGAGAGGGCATCGATCCTCATGGTGGAGGAGGTGGAGCGGTCTGTCAGAGAGAAGATGATGCCTGAAGCAGGGAGGAGGAGGAGGGAAGGAAGGAGCAATGAATAAGGGAGGACAGAGGAAGAAGAGAAAAATAAGAGAGAATTAAGAAGCAGGTATGTGTGTGTAGATGTGTGTGTACCTGGTATCAGAGCAGGTATGTGTGTAGATGTGTGTGTACCAAGGTATCAGAGCAGGTATGTGTGTAGATGTGTGTGTACC